GGGGGGGGGGGGGGGGCCGGAGCAGAGAGGGGGTCGGTCATGAGGTTTTGAGCCTAGTGCAAGGGGTGGGTCATGCAATTTTTAGCTACCCTTAGGGGGTGGGTCACCCTATTTATTACATAGATAAGCACTAACTACTAACAAGACAATTGACTACACTTGTTATACAAAACACAGCCAGTTGGAATTATTGCTAAAATACTCACAAACCTGTTGTGCGAGAAAGTACAAAAGGGTGACAGGCTGCACATCTATACGGGCGTGGAACCCTCTGTTAACCTTTTTTTTTTTTTGGCTCTTATGAGCATGTCCTTTAACGATTTTCCTTTTTTGTGAGGAAATGATTGGTGGTTCTTTAAAAATTTATTGAGGTTACAGTTGGTTTTGTCAGGAGTCCATCAAATGGAGCCTCCATCTCCCATACAAGCCCTTGGAGTCATCCCTTTCCCGAGTAGATTTATAATTAGAACTGTTCCCAGGGGAGACCTCGCGCGCCGACGGTGGGAAGAGCCAATCACAACGACGAAATGACACTGCTATTGTACTTCATGAAACAGCAGGAAATTTCGGTGATGACAGGCCAAACACAATCATAAGCTAGTGAAACGTGACTTTAGAGTTTTCATCCCTCAGAGATTTCCTTTCTTTTCTTTCTAGCGGGTAGATTATACTGTGGAGAGTTTTAAACTATAACTATGTTGATCTCTGATGGGCTCCTGGTTTTGTATAAGATTCCATTTTTTCATTCAAGTTTCCTTTATAGTAGACACTGAGGGCTACTATTGTGTCACGAATGACAATATTTCTTTTTCCTCCTTGTTGTTTTGTTTTAGGAGTTTAGACTCCCTTTTGTGAATTTTATTTCCGATAGTATGTTTTCTATCAAAGTTTGTGGGTAGCCTCCGTCCATCAAGCGTTATTTTTTAAATTTGAATTATTTTCCTCAAAGGTTGTTTCTGAGGAGTTTTTTCTTACGATTCTCAAGGCTTCTCCTTTGACAAATCCTTTTTTTTGACATTTGGAGAGTGACACGAGGTGAAATGTGTGTGCAAGAAGGTTTGCCTTGTTAAAAATGTGTCCTTGCATCAAGGATAGATTTTTCCCTAAATCTTGTGCCTTTGTATACAACCGTGTCTAAAAACGCAGTCTCAGTGTCAAATGTTTCGGCCGTGAATTCAATAGTTGGGTGATGTAAGTTTGTTTGTTCAATGAAGGCTTCGATGTCTGATATACTCATGTCCCATAGGGCAAAGATATCGTGTATGTAGCATTTCCAAACTGTTGTTCTAAATACAGTTTTGCTTAGAGTTGTTGTTTCAATATATGTCATGAAAATATTGGCAAAGGAATCAAATCTCCTGTCTTTGTGCCCATTGCAGTTCCATGGTTTTGTAGGTAATGCTTTTCATTAAAGTGGAAGAAATTTTCTTTGAGGATCAATTAATCTAAGCATTTCCGGCAAGTAATGTGTATGAATGGGTTGTCTTTGTAGAAATTTTCATATGCTTTGTGACAGACAATTTCAATATACCCTCGTTTTACTGTATATTTGTGTCAAGACTCATAACGTCCATTAAAACAAGGAATGTTCAGTTTTTCACATTTGTCTTTTCAGTGAAAGGTATGATTTCTGTGATTTTGATATTGGTTGTAGCAGTGTATCAACAAATTTTGTCAAGCACAGAACAAGGTTTTATTGGATTATTAAGAGGAAACCAAACATCCATGTTTTAACTAGGGGGTGGGTTATGCAATTTCCAACCTTGCTTTAGGGGTGGGTCAGTNTTGTTTTAGGAGTTTAGACTCCCTTTTGTGAATTTTATTTCCGATAGTATGTTTTCTATCAAAGTTTGTGGGTAGCCTCCGTCCATCAAGCGTTATTTTTTAAATTTGAATTATTTTCCTCAAAGGTTGTTTCTGAGGAGTTTTTTCTTACGATTCTCAAGGCTTCTCCTTTGACAAATCCTTTTTTTTGACATTTGGAGAGTGACACGAGGTGAAATGTGTGTGCAAGAAGGTTTGCCTTGTTAAAAATGTGTCCTTGCATCAAGGATAGATTTTTCCCTAAATCTTGTGCCTTTGTATACAACCGTGTCTAAAAACGCAGTCTCAGTGTCAAATGTTTCGGCCGTGAATTCAATAGTTGGGTGATGTAAGTTTGTTTGTTCAATGAAGGCTTCGATGTCTGATATACTCATGTCCCATAGGGCAAAGATATCGTGTATGTAGCATTTCCAAACTGTTGTTCTAAATACAGTTTTGCTTAGAGTTGTTGTTTCAATATATGTCATGAAAATATTGGCAAAGGAATCAAATCTCCTGTCTTTGTGCCCATTGCAGTTCCATGGTTTTGTAGGTAATGCTTTTCATTAAAGTGGAAGAAATTTTCTTTGAGGATCAATTAATCTAAGCATTTCCGGCAAGTAATGTGTATGAATGGGTTGTCTTTGTAGAAATTTTCATATGCTTTGTGACAGACAATTTCAATATACCCTCGTTTTACTGTATATTTGTGTCAAGACTCATAACGTCCATTAAAACAAGGAATGTTCAGTTTTTCACATTTGTCTTTTCAGTGAAAGGTATGATTTCTGTGATTTTGATATTGGTTGTAGCAGTGTATCAACAAATTTTGTCAAGCACAGAACAAGGTTTTATTGGATTATTAAGAGGAAACCAAACATCCATGTTTTAACTAGGGGGTGGGTTATGCAATTTCCAACCTTGCTTTAGGGGTGGGTCAGTCATTTTTGTGCCGAAGGGAGGGGGTGGGTCATGTGTATTTTATCAACCACATTTCCAAATGCTCCGGCCCACCCCCCCCCCCTATACTTTTTGACCAGTCCCTTACTACTACCTTTTTGTGAAATCTGCACCATGTTGAAGTGTGGTCATCGGTGTAGTGCTGATAATAATTTAGGATGGCTTTGCCAAAGTCCCCCATGGGGTCCTCTGAGGAGTAGATCTCTTCGCACTTTGTTACATTTTTCAGACACTTTTTAGCGTTGGTTATCATCTGTCATTCTTTTGCACTTGGGTAGGCCAAGGCTTTTGCACTGTGGATATATCAAATGGTACACATGTAATGATTATAATTGAAATCGTTTTAGATTGAAAAAAATCTTACAAGCAACCAAACTCAATTAGGAGAATTCGGCAGTATGAAATGAAATTATTACGCCCGAAGAAACAAGCACATTACCAGCTCCTGACATTTACCGGTAATTTACATGGCAATGAAAGCAAACACGAGATTTTTTAATTGTACTTTTTGACAGTTGCTTTTCCTCTGCAGTCCACATAAATAAAATAAAGTTAAACAGCGCCGAAAAAAACAAATTTTGTCTTTTTTTTTCTAGCAAGTACGCTTTTAGAAAAAAACTTTGCCGTTTCATGATCAATGACTTTGGAAATACACGTGAGCTAAATTGGGAACTGCGCATTAAAGGCGGTTAGGGACAAAAGATACAAAGCTGTACACTCACCTGACATGGCGTTTTCTTCACTCATTCCAAGTCCGTATGGAATGTTTTCGCTGTGTGGTTACCATAAAACACTATCTCTGTCTCCGGGCTTATTGTAAGAATAATCTCTTGGCAAGAGGCGTCTTTATCAATGATCGCTTTCTTGATGGTCATACACTCGTTTTCTATCAAATCGGCAAGAATCTCGTCAAGCATGTTCCCCTCTGCGCCATCAGATGTCCCCTCCCAGTTGGCATCCTGTCCCCGTTTAGTGCGATGTGCATAGCCGATGATGTTACTGGTCTTAGCGTCATGCATGGTGGCAGAAGAATTGTTGGAGTAGTGGCCTCTTGTCAAGTAGAAGCCGTCGAACATCACCTCGAGCTTGTCTTGATCTCCATGCGCTTTTATCGCTTTCCTTGACTGCTCGACACTCCAATTGGCTAGTTCAACGCGCATTCAAACCCCATCCAGATCTTTGAGTTGTACAAATAATACATTTGTTACTAATGAACTATTTAGTTTTTGGAGCTGCATAAACAAGAACCATGATACTCGAACAATATTGTTGGTTTCAAACCACTACCACTTATTGGCATGAATGCATGGAGCAAAAACAATTGTTGATTTTCTTATTTCTTAGCCATGACCCTTGCAGGTACACATCAGTGTACATATGATAGTGATGCACAGAGCACATAATGAGAGGAAGCGGGAAACTATAGCAATCAGACATCACACTTGAATTGGATACCTATGAACAATGTTAAAACACCTAAGTCTTTCATTTTGAATGTAATCATGAGAGACTCTTTGGCCTTATTCAACCAAGTGCACTCATTCAACCATTGAGTCCACGGAGTAAAAAAATCTCTCCTCATAATCAGAACAGTTTCATTTCTCTCACTTCCCTGTTGTTTATTTATGACATTTTTAGATTCCTTTTAACAATTTCGATGTCCACTGTTTGTTTGTTGGTCAAGAAAATATTAACTATACACCTTCCTGTTCCTTCCGCTTTGTTGCGATCTGCAATGATGAATAACCATCAGCAACTCCCAAGCAACCCTATAGACACTCTCAAAGCTACAGCATTAAGTCGAAGCTATATAGTGTCGAGGCCACTCGGAAACCTGGATTTTTTTTGGCCTGCTCTTTCCTGTTTTTCTGTGTTGAAAACCACCATTGAATAAAAAAGGAAATGGGTTTTAAAATACTATGCCCATGTTAACCCTACAGCCTTGTTAAACGTTAGAGCCAAATTTGCCCTTTATTCATTATTCTGGACACCATCTCTGATTGCAACAAAAGATTCCCTTAATGGTAGGGTCTGACAGAAAAGCCTGGATCACACTTGCGACATAATGACATAACATGCTAAAAAACGACATCAAATAACAAACGAACCTTATGTCCCTGATCTAAACATCGATATGACAACATTTCTGTGAATAAAAAAATCGCGAAGGCGACTCCCATTGCCGTGTTTGCCTTTATTTTGTCTATTTTATAGAGAAGAGGAAGTCAACAAAGGCTTTAAAACGAGAAGCAAAGGTAACTAGGTGTTTTCCAACAAAACGAGCTACTGCACAAGTTCTGTAAATACTTTTTCACAGAAGGCAATCTTTAATTTCGATTTAAGTGATTAGGCTTAAAATTGAAAACATTTTTTTGTGGCTTGCTTTGTTGATTGACAGAATGTACTTTAACAGTGGAATCGACTGGAGTAAATGTTGGTAGCAAACTGCCTTTTTGCCCAAGCACCCAGCTACAAGATACACTACCGCTTTCAACCACTACCCTAACTAGGTTTTTTTCATTCCCTTTCTGTACGCAAAATTGGCACAGGGCCATTTGAGAAAATATCTGTAGAATTTGCAAAGGATCGATTAAAAATAAAAATTGTGTATAGTAGTAACAATAATAATAACAGTATTGTGAAACGCTACCTTAAAGTTCTTTTCTTGGGGATGGAGAAATCAATAGCTAGTAATGGTAATCACGTGAAATTTCATTAATTTACTACTCTGTTATTTTGCATCAATATTCTCGAAAACAAAGATCAAACCAGCGAAAAAAGGTTGCTGACCACACACAACACACAGGAAAGAAACCAAATAATGGTGAGAAGAGAAAAAAGCATTATCATTATTGTGAATTTTTGTCTTTATTTTAACACTAATGGTATATATTTTCAACAGTGTAAAAAATTTTAATTATGTGCATCAGTCCAAATAAAATATTGTTGTTATTAAAATTATTGTTATTCTCGGATTATTGCCATCCATTGTGGCCAGGTCCAAGCAGTGGACCTGGGGCATAATAGGGGAAGACGTTACTTCAGCGACAGTTCTTTCCTTAGTATGTGGGCTGTTCCAAGCATTCTGATTTTCTGGATTTCAAGCATATATTCACGCATCATGAAGAGAAATCTTAATAAGTGCAATTTGGTGGTCGGAGATAACACTGGTGCCATGGTTATTTCACTGTTGGAAGAAAACATCGACAAAGTTAGCGTCGATAATTCGTATTGCTTTCATTTAGTGACTGCAAAGAGTCTCTACAGGAAACAACTGAACTCTAGCAGGGCAAGTACGATCAGTACGTGTGACAATGTTGTAATTTCGGACAAATTGAGTGTTATCGCCAGAGGGTTGGTGGCTAATGATGTGAGTAGTGAAAGTATAGTTGGACGTATTTTGGCAGTAAGTATTAAAGAGGTTGTACACTTGCATAAATGTACGTCAAAAATTTTAGATATTCCAGGGCAATCTGTTTTTAAATGTTTGATGTGTGCATTGGCCATAATATTGGCCGATATTATTGGGAATAATATCGGCAGGTTTTATTGTCCAAATGCTGTAATGCAATCTTTCTTTGCAAAACTTTCAGACATGCAATTATTTAGCATCGAAGAAGCTGACCTGGCCGAACTATCTGTAGAAATGATGGAAGAAATAATGCTAAATTTGAAAAACGTGAAAATCGAAATTGTGACCGGTTTTGTTTTTTTGTTCTGTTTCGTCCATTCCTCATTACCTCTAACTTGTATTTATTGAATTGCATTGATTTATGTTGTGTTGCATTGTATTTTTTCCCAGATTCATGTAAACAAAGGCAAAAACTCAGAACCAAAATGTCTCGTGAGAAGGAGTTGTGGAAAAAAGTTGTGGCCAACTATAATGAACTGGTCAATAAAAAAAACAAAATAACGACTGAGAGTATCCAGAAGGGTGATTTCCCATGGGATAAACCTGATTTTTCTGGCTGTGACGGCAGTTAGTACTCCTACACGTTTTTGCCTAAATAGATTGTGTTGTAAAATCTGCCTCAGGGCTTTCATACGTCATTTTTAACATCGAACTTCCCTCCTCCTTTTGCAATCTCTTCTTGTTTTTATAATTCGCTGATACTTTTCTTACCTATATCCGGCAACCTAAACAACCGCTAATAATAACTTTCATTATTCAGTTCCCGTAGGTACAAAGAGATCATTGGTCCACAAGCAGATGGAAGTCGAGCGCTTCGGAGAGGAGCTCAGAGGTTTAAAGGAGATGAATGGTTATATGTCCTTCTGTAAGGATGCTATTTAGCCTTCAATTCAACAGAAGAACACGGAATTCCAGGCTTCATTATCAGGTAGCTTGTAAAGTGTCAACTAAATTTAACTTAAACGTTGTCAATCCTATAGGGTAATCTTGGAAGAAATAGATACACGCATGTCTAAACGTTACGGTTGTTTTTTGGGTATGCCATATTGTTTCACCTGAGCATATGCTGTACTATTTTCTCCTATACGTTCGGAACACCCAGACATTGACGTTGAGAGTGGCACGATGGAAATTGAAGACACATTTATTTAGTCTGTAAGAATCGATTATTTTTGTTTGCCAATTTTGGGTACATTGTAAAATGGGTCAATAACATTGAAGCATTGTTGTCAGTTATGTGATTTTGACACCTTTCTTTCATCGAAATACACACCAATTCAAAGCGTAGTTATTGTCAGTTAATGTAAACGTTTCAAAGAAAAATGCTGCTGAAATAGCAGTTCCTAGGAATTTGCCTTTTTCGTTTTCATAGTGCTTGTGCTTATTTTGATGTATCTTTGCATTTATACCATCTGTTATTGATGACTCTTGCTGTTGTCCATGATTGCCAAGGACTCCAGCCATTAAATTGGACTTTTCTCTAAAGTAGGCTCACCTTTTCAAAATATTACAGTGGTAACATTTACCATTGTGTGGAACAAGAGAACTACTGTCCATGAAAGTAGTGGAGTCTTGGCTGCACCATGCTGATGAAACCCAATAGCCCGAAACAACAAGCAAATTTTTTAATTCATTAATGAATGATTTTCCAGTAATCGGAGACGTCCCTTTTGAGCAAAGGATTATGGGATCGCCAGGGGGCAAACGTTGCAAATCTCTATAAAGAAATGTATGGCGTAGAGTTGCTTCTTCGTTAAAAAAGTGATTTTGGACAAGGAATGACCTATTTTAGTGGTAATTTTGTGAGGAGCGGAGGTGACCGATGTTTGAGCGTCGAAATTGTAAGTTTTTATCGGCCTAATGTAATAAAATCTATCGATAAAGCCTCTTTCTTGCGTAAGTTTGATTGTGAAATTTCCTTAATATACATGAAGTAATGGCCTCGAAATAGTAAAAATTTAGGTATAAATTTGAGGAGATTGATTCAATAAAACCTTTTGAGTTATAATTACACGTGCTGAGATCATTTCTGTGTTAGTTACAAGTGATATAACATTACTATGGCCGATGGAATTCTACACCCACAAAGGACAGAAGTTGTTGTACGAGGGGATGGAAATTGTTTCTACCGAGCGATTGCCCTATGGAGGGATGAAACAAGTGACAGAAAACACGAGGAAATTCGAAGCTTGTGTAACTCCCTTATTGAGAAACATCCGCAGTTATTTGCAGTGGAGGAACATGTTAAGAAAAGTAAACTTGCTGGGTCTTGGGCAGAAACTGTTGACATCTTTAGTTGTGCAACACTGCTATGATTAGTACGACTATCTAATACATTTTAAGATTTACTGTAGCCCTGCCATTGATTTTTCCCATGTGTAATTATGATATTATTTCGCTCTAATTATTTAACTGAGGGAGCCCATTCCTTATAAGCCCGGTGGCTACTCTTGGGCTTCCTCGCCATGAGAGTTTAAATAATTAGATTTTTTTTGCTTTGTACATTTACCTATGGCAAACAAAACAATAAACAAGATAACACATTTTCAACTAAAGAAAAAAAGTGGTTCACTTTTAACCCTCTCAAGATCACTAATTCTTCGTCTCCTATGGAAACAAAGAAGGGCTGTGAATGTCCCATTACTCTGAAACATTATGATGATTATGCCCAAGCAAACCACTTCAATCTCCTTCTTCCTCAAGGAAATTGTTGTAATGCTCCCCCGCCTGAAAATAAACCATCCTCACTGGTAATAGATTTGGATAATGTTGAACAATCATATGCTTCAGCTGTCGAACAGAGTTCCAAAACATGTCCTTCCACCAAAGTATCCTCAACAGCAACTAACAATACCAAGCAGTCCCCCCAAAACTCAGCCCACTAAACAAACAAAAGGAAACTTATCAAGTACAGATACTGCAGCCAAAATATCATCTTCAGCTTGTAGTAGTATTGATTCTGCTAAACAGCCATCACAAGCTACTTATTTCAAACAAAGATCTCCAACATCAACTAAAGCCAATCATAAACAGCCAACCCCAGCAAATGTGACCACAGCAAAACAAAAATCTGCAACTTTTGAAGCCACACAGCCATCACAACCCCTGAAAAACTTTGTTAAACAATCATTCCCAGCACCTACAAATGGAACAACTCCTAAAACCAATTCTACAATGGAATCATCACAAGACCCTGCTCCAAAGGCAAAAGATCCATCTCCAGCTACTAAAACTACCTCAACCTAGCTCAACCTCCACTTCTTCAAAACAACCCCATGCCACTCCTAACTTTGACAACATGGATATAAAAGCCATCAAAGAGTTCATGTCAGCAAGGGGTGTTCAAGTTTCCAATTACCGCAAGCCCCAACTTATTGAGCTGGCTAAAGCAATTGCTAGTATGGACCTTCCCATTGATCCTCATTTTGAAAATTGTTCTATTGATGAATGCTTGATTAGACGCCTTACTTTACCTGCAGGACTTAAAATTCCAGATCCTTTTTAAATGTCATCCTTGTCTCATGACTTCTCACAGCTGCCTCCATTTGGACTGATGGACATTTTCAATCACTTGATAATGAGTAAAACTGATTACGACAAAGCTATGCTGTCGTCTTGGCGTTCATTTGAAGAAGATAATTTATGTTTAAAGGGCCATGTTCAAAGCCTTGGTGTAAAGACTGTGCAAGATCTTGATGGCAGTACTTATTATGTGTTTGTGGCAGGGGTTATAACAACACAGAAAGAAAAAACACAAGAAGGTGAAAAGTATTATACACTATGGTTTTTGCTTCATTCAAATGGTTCTGTGTAGCTCCACCCTTACATCTGCAGAATGCAGAGTGATCAAGGATGCAGACACTTAGGTGCGACATTGTTTGCGCTGATGATTTTCTTTACAATCAAAGAAAGTCTGTCACCTCTGTGTCTGCATATTGGAACCCAAAACCCACACCCAACAACAAACCAGTACCTCTTTTAGAAATGAAAGTATCACATGGTCATGGAAAGAGAAACAAAAGAAAAGTAACAGCACAAGGAATGAAATAACTTTAAATGAAAAATTGGAATTTGCAAAAAAACTAAGAAAAATTGATCCCTTTTCTGGGATTCTTGATTTCTTACCAGCTCCAAAAACCTGTGATGACAATGATCACAGTCAGCAATCTGAATATGATATTTCACATCTGTCTATCATGTCCCAAGCTAAAAAGTATATTGAGGCAAATGTTGACAATACTTCAGAGTCAAACCTTTCTGATGTTGCTGACGAATTTATTAAAGTGCTGACCTTTTTTAAACAGTGACAGAGAAAATATCAACAAAGCCACTCAGGGTCAGCACCAAAGCAAATCATGGCATGAGATGAGGCATCTTTTAATGACAGGAAAAACTATTAAAGCACTTTATACTCGAAAAAATACTATAGCAAAAAAAAATCCTCTAACTGATGTATCCCTCACTGTAAAAACTTTCATCACACAAAAAGAATATAAGGAAAATCAAAGATACCCTGATGCCATAGAGTATGGCATAAAAGAAGAAAGTAATGCAAAATTTTACTACTCTAAAGTTTGTGAGAAACAGCATAGTGCCTTTAAACTTGAAGAGCCTGGTCTTCTTTTAAGTACAGAATACTCATGGCTAGGTGCTAGCTTAGATGGCATTAGAAAATGTTCATGTTGTAATCCTGCTGTGGTGGAATTTAAATGCCCTTTTAATGGAAAAAACCTGGACCCCAAAAATGCTTTTCTGTTACCTAGTGTTGGTGGGGTAAACGATGATGATGGGAACTTCTCCCTTGATGATAACCACCTGCACTATTTTCAAGTTCAAACTTACATGGCAGTTTCAGGTTATAACACTTGTGAATTTGTGACTTACACCAGTAAGGGTATACATGTAGTAAAAGTTACTTTTCATGCTGATTTCTGGGAAACTGTTGTGACAAAAGTTAATAAGTTTTATTGTAAACAAATAGTTCCTTCCATCCTCCTAGAAGCATTTAAGAGCCTTAAACAGAAACAATTTGAACCAGCGTCTTCCAACACCAAAAGTTTCCTCTCGAGATTCCTTTTACTTGAGAAAGTTAAGGACTTATTTTTTGGGGGGTCTATTCAGCCAGTGAGGATATTATGAACTGTTTTTTTTACGATGAATCCACTGGCAGAAATGGTCCTAATGAAGTGATATTGTTACTTAACTACGTATTGGAGACACTAATAGAAAGGTACAGGACATTTCATCATTTAATACTATGGGCAGACAACTCGCCAGCACAGTTTAAACACTGCATTTTATTTTTTTTACTTGGACACCCTTGTCTGGAATGGAAGGTTTCTTCGAGTAGATCTGAAATTTCTGTTGGAAAGGCATTCCTTCTCAATATGTGATAGAAGATTCAGGTGTATTCAGCAATTCTTTAACACAGGAAAAAATCGAAAGTTCCCCAAGATTGAGCAATTTCTCTACGAAATAGCCATTTACGTAATGTCAGAAGCCACTGGGTAAGCCTTCATCAGATAATGAACTATAAATCTTACTTAAATAACAAATACATTGCTAGAAGCGAGGACAGTAACAGAGAAAAATTCGAAGTGAGAGAATTTGCAATTATTAATTTTGGCTATGGTGAGATACAAGATCAAGAAGGATACTTAAGGCTTACCAGGCACAATGAAACCGCCTTTATCAGGTTTACAATGGATACAGTAGAAAAGTCAAAAATTGCCTCTTTTGTAAAGAAGAAACAATGTGAGGAATTAAATCCAGCGGATCTAGTTTCTTTGAGACAAGATTGCAGACCTGTTCGCGAACATGTGCAAACAAATTGTATACCACTTGTCCAGAAATATTTATCTGAAAGGGCTTCACTGTTCTTCAGGACAGTGATGATGCTGATTAGTAATGAATACCCAATAACTTGTGTACATAGTGATAATACCAATTACAATATCAGATAACTGTTATATCCTAGTTCCGATACTGTTGGTTTTATCAGAAAGAGAGACAATAAATTAGGTTCATGAACATTTTATTCACTGTATCCATTTAGTAGTATACACAACTCGATGTACCACAGTTCGACTGAGTAAACACTTGTAACTGCATCTTGAGATCTTTTTAAAAGGCAAACGTTGACCTAAAGGCAACTGATAAGTGCATGAGCGCCCCACTTCGGTAAAGGCTTAAGAGTGCCATCCTCACGCTCAGTTTGCTTTGGTTGTGTATACTCAATTTGATTTATCTAGAAACAAATAAGAAACTATCGTGTTTATAAAGTTCTCGGTTAGCAACGACTTGTAAGGTGCATTGGCCAATATCCCACCGTAATTTATGCAGAGCTGATGTAAGAAAGGATGATTTGTACTTGATAATGGAGACATGTCTCCGAAATTTCATGTTTTAATAGAGTTCTGTAAAGGTTGCCGCAGTTTAATAGACTCATTGTTGGGTTTTGGGCCATAAGAAGAAAAATTATCACTATACACTTATCTAGTGCGCAATAAAGTTACATTACCTTGGCCGATGAATCTTCTTTTTTGAATAACTGGTATATTGACACCTTCTGCATCGTAAAGCTGACATGAAGGTACATGTCGATTACATAAACAATAAAATATAAAATATAACAGTAAGCGATTGTGGATTTAAATGTTATTGGACCAATCAATTTCAAGTATTTGGTAAGAAAGACAAGTTGTTTAAAAATTTTTTGGATTGATTTTAAACTTTTTTGAAAATTTCTCTTTCTCTAACATAGGGCTATATATTCCCTTCAAAGTCACCTTGCTTTCGTTATTGTACAGCAAAAAAAGTATTGTTTCTATAAAATCTGAAGTCTTAAGGTACAAAGCTCTTTGAAAGGGCTTGAGCTAATACGTCTTGATCTATACCAAGAGTCTAATATTAATTTAACAGTAATAAGAAAATCTATAACTGTAAGTCCTAAATAATCATGACCTCCTGGCAAAAGAGAATGAAATTGTATTTTCTCTGTATGGTGTTAAAAGGGAAACAGTTTGTTTTCTATAAACAAGGTCAGTAAACAAGTGTTATGTACTTTGAGTAAGCAAAATTACCAAACAGTCCCATTGCTGGTTTTAATGCACCTGACATCACGGCGCCCATGTTGGATGATAAAAATAAAAGCATTTCTCTCCTCTGGGAAGTCAACTCTATTTTCATATTTATGTATTGAACTGTTTTCAAGCTTGGTCGCCTTGTCACGTGGTTGCAATCCAAGAATATTAATACCTTATTTATGATTATGCAGACATGTTTCATGATGTTTTGACTCTTCATACAATAACTTCATAAAGTATGAAATTGCTGCATACACAATAAAAGGTGTTGTTAGAACAGTACGGAAATCTTGCCCCAGTGTCAATATCTTCAAAGTTTATGTTCCCTACCTGAATCCAGAAATCCAGAAATGAATTAATAGCCTTCTTTTTATATTTCTGGATAATGTTTCAAGTTCATTTGTTTCTGGCTCCAGTGGTCTCGGGTTCTCATCCCGTTATAAAAAAAATCAAAGGCTGAGAAAAGATCCGAAGTGTTTTGACACACGTATGGTGTTTGCAGGCAAATTTTCAAAATAGTTGTATATGTTTTTCACACCTGCGGTCCGGTGATTGCACATTACATGGATTGCATTTGTCTAGGGACAAGATATCACGAAACCAGACTTTGAACAATCAGGCATAAATGCCTTGAAACAAAACATGTTGCTACCCTCAGGTGTTGTCTGTTTTAATGTTTTGCTGGGTACTTCACCAAGGCTATGCTTCCTTTTCTTGACACTTGATTGTGCTCATAAAAAAAAATTATAAGAAAATTTTATTAACAACAAATTAGACCTTTGTGGTCCGTGTCTTTTGAA